CCCTACCCTCATCTTGTCCATGATGGCGTTTGTCCCCAGGATGTCACAGTGTCCCCAGGATGTCCCCAGGCTGTCCCTACCCTCATCTTGTCCATGATGGCGCTTGTCCCCAGGATGTCACAGTGTCCCCAGGATGTCACAGTGTCCCCAGGGTGTCCCCAGGGTGTCCCTACCCTCATCTTGTCCATGATGGCGTTTGTCCCCAGGATGTTGTATCTCTTGCCGGGGTTGGCGGCCGCGTGCTTCACCGCCCACGTCGTCTTCCCTGCGGCCGGGAGCCCCACCATCATCAGGATCTGGGGACAAAGGGGACATCTGTGTCACCTCGGTGTCACCTCAGGGCTGTGACACAGCCAGAGCCACCCCAGTGTCACTGTGTCCCATCCCAGTGTCACTGTGTCACAGCCCAGAGCCACCCCTGCAGCCCCACCATCATCAGGATCTGGGGACAAAGGGGACATCTGTGTCACCTCGGTGTCACCTCGGGGCTGTGACACACCCAGAGCCACCCCAGTGTCACTGTGACCCTCCCCAGTGTCACTGTGTCACACCCCAGTGTCACTGTGACCCATCTCAGACCAGCCCTGCATGCAGCCCCACCAGCATCAGGATCTGGGGACACAGGGGACATCTGTGTCACCTCGGTGTCACCTCGGGGCTGTGACACCCTGAGGGCCACCCAGAGCCACCCAGTGTCACTGTGACCCACCCCAGTGTCACTGTGTCCCACCCCAGTGTCACTGTCACCCATCTCAGACCAGCCCTGCAGCCCCACCAGCATCAGGATCTGGGGACAACGGGGACATCTGTGTCACCTCGGTGTCACCTCGGGGCTGTGACACAGCCACAGCCACCCCAGTGTCACTGCCAGCCCTGCAGCCCCACCATCATCAGGATCTGGGGACAAAGGGGACATCTGTGTCACCTCGGTGTCACCTCGGGGCTGTGACACCCTGAGGGCCACCCAGAGCCACCCAGTGTCACTGTGACCCACCCCAGTGTCACTGTGTCCCACCCCAGTGTCACTGTCACCCATCTCAGACCAGCCCTGCAGCCCCACCAGCATCAGGATCTGGGGACAACGGGGACATCTGTGTCACCTCGGTGTCACCTCGGGGCTGTGACACCCTGAGGGCCACCCAGAGCCACCCAGTGTCACTGTGACCCACCCCAGTGTCACTGTGTCCCACCCCAGTGTCACTGTCACCCATCTCAGACCAGCCCTGCAGCCCCACCAGCATCAGGATCTGGGGACAACGGGGACATCTGTGTCACCTCGGTGTCACCTCGGGGCTGTGACACCCTGAGGGCCACCCAGAGCCAGCCCAGTGTCACTGTCACCCAGCCCAGTGTCACTGTGTCACAGCCCAGTGTCACTGTCACCCACCCCAGAGCCACCCCTGCAGCCCCACCATCATCAGGATCTGGGGACAAAGGGGACATCTGTGTCACCTCGGTGTCACCTCGGGGCTGTGACACCCTGAGGGCCACCCAGAGCCAGCCCAGTGTCACTGTCACCCATCCCAGAGCCACCCCTGCAGCCCCACCATCATCAGGATCTGGGGACAACAGGGACAAGGACAGCTCAGTGTCACCTTGAGGATGGGACACCCCCAGAGCCACCTGTGTCACTGTGACCTATTTCAGTGTCCCCAATGTCCCTAAGGTGTCCCCAAGGTGCCCCCAATGTCCCCACCTCGCACTTGGCCTTGCTCTTGGGTCCCAGTGTCCCCCGGTGCCTCTCTCCGGGCGGGAGGTGCTGCATGAGGTGGAATTCCGGCGGCACTGTCCCTGTGTCCCTGTGTCCCCAGGGTGTCCCCAATGTCCCCAGGGTGTCCCCAATGTCCCTAGGATGTCCCCACCTCGCACTCGGCCTTGCTCTTGGGTCCCAGTGTCCCCCTGTGGCGTTGTCCCCACGTCCTCATGATGTTCCCATGATGTCCCCAATCCCCACAATGTCTCTGTGTCCCCAATGTCCCCAGGGTGTCCC